CTGATAAGAATATGTAGAGGAAGGGTTTTCCAAAGAGCCCTTGTTGATTTTCCATTTACTCCCCAATCACAGAGGTTTGTACTTACACAATGCTTGAGTAAGGGAGTGATGCACTATCTACAGGGGATTTTTCTTTTGTATACAGCTATAGGAAAAATCCTGGCAGCAGGGTTCACTCATGTAGTCCTGCTCTGCTCCAAGGATGCAGTGGAAAAACACTTCTCTCCCTGGAGAGGAACCCTCATCAGCAGGAGGACGAGCAATCAGTAAGTGATAATGAATCAGTTAAAGTGCATTTGAGATCAATAGATGTCGGTTAGGACACATGTAGCCAGTCATTTCTGAGTCTCTTTTATCACAGCTGCATGTTAGCCTAAACCCCAATTATTATGCATTTTATGGAGTATAAATTTTTCAGCATTCTCTGTTTAGTTTGGGCAGAGTCCTTTAAGTACTGTCTTACAAGGGTTAACAGCGGGGCAAACCAGCCTGGACTTAGGACACCAGAAAAACTGGGGCTACATGGTCACAGAATTATTGTGGAATAAATCATATGTTGGTGCCCAAACATGCTTCCCTGTTTGCTTCATTCCTCATCTTGATGATCTTTTGAAGAATGATCCAAAGCCCAAAGCACCTGAAGCTGTTGCTAATTGGGCAAGGGCTTATGTGTCACTTAGATTTACTCATCCTACATACACTCCCTCACAATATAATTAACGGCGATGGCACTGTTAGATAATTAAATTTAGTTTTAGGCAGAGGTCAAATGACCTGGATAGCTTATATGGGGGCTGATGCCCTTCAATGAGTAAATCAAAAATAGTTATTTCAGGGTCCTCCACTGCTGACAGCAGAGCTTTGGGTCATTAAGGTGCTCATTGCTCACCAAGGCCTGTGGGAAATATGGAATTTTCACATGTGCCCACTTTCCAAATGGAAATGAAATCAGAAAAACAATGACCTGTCACAAAATGATCCCAGTGTGTGGCAGAAGAAATGGAAATGGAGCTGATAAGGGATGTGGGGACTGAGCTGGGAGGGCTGTGTGCTTCTTCCATGGTTATTGCTTCATGAAGGATGGGGTGTTGTAACTCAGTTCCTTTATTTGGCTTGGTGGTGCCCTGCCCATGCTGCGTCTCACCCACAGCTGTGCCAGCGCTGGCTGGAGCTGGTGTGACACAGCAGGGTCCAGCTGCCATGCCCAGGGGGGACCTGCCAGGTAAAAACTGAATCTTGTGCTGAAATGACTCACGGCAAAATATTTTGAGCCACTTCAGCTGAGTACTTTGTTTTGAGTCACAGTGACTGTAACTGAAAGGTTTCTTTAGACGCTCCTGGCAGAAAAAAAACCCAACAGTGCACAGAGAGACACAGATAGATTGGTAAATGCATAACTAAAAGAGTAACAAATTGCAAATTTAATTTTTTGATGGAAAAAGCTTCCTGCTCAGTTTAAGCTTTTCCTGCAGCCTGCCTGGGCACCAGTACAGCCCATGTAGCATCCCTGGCATCTCCAGAGGTCACTGGCTGCACATCTCCCCTCCATGGCTCCAATTTTGCCCCAAGCAGCCTGGAAACAGTAGCACTCTCTGGGATTTTCCTGTCACTTCCCTCTATTGCTTTATGCATTTCTTATTTCAGTGATAATAGGAGGGTCCTCTACATTTTTCCCATCTCTATAGGCAGTGGATAGATTGTAATTAAATCACAGCTTAGTTTGGGACTTGGCACTCGTGCTGAGAGATCAGGGCAATCTGTCTATTTGCAGGATTAGACATATCTATCTATATATATGCATATATTAATCCTTATGTTTTTCACAAATAATCCTGTGTGTTCTTGGATGCAAAGCACATTAGAGCAAGCCAGCATCCTCTCTCATCCTGTTTGTTCCTCCCTTCTCTGCCTGAGAACAATGACGGCAGGAGGAAGTCTCGCATTGGTTTGTTACCAGTTTCCAGGCAGTTTTGCTTCCAGCTCCCCAACTACAAGCGCAACATTGCAAATCCTGGGCTGGAACAGACACAGACAACATCTGGTCTAGAAAAACACCACGAAAGATTGGGGAGTTTGTTGAGTTTAGCATTTAGATCAAAATTACCTCTTTATATGTGAGTGAGGGCTATTGACTGTGCACGATATTAAGGAGTGATGATTTGTAGCTTGGGAAAAGGGGTTAAATCCCGGCAGCCTGCCGCCACTGCGGGTGATGTGCAGCCCCGTGCGACTTGGGCAGTTCATCACCAAAAAGAAATCACATTTTGCTGCGCCCTCGCAGCCCGGCAAGCTGAAACGCCGGCGCTGCAATCAGGATTAGTAAGTGATAAGGCAGGGATGCAATCCCCCGGGCAGTGCGGGCTGCCCAGCCAGCCGAGGGCAGCGGCAGCACCAATACTGATCTTTTCTGCGAGGTTTCAGCAGCTCCTTCTGGCCTTTTTCCCTCCGTGTCCCTCAGTCCTGCCTGGTGAGGCTGCACCTCCCGCACCAGCAGCCTCCCCACAACTGCACGACTCTTTGCAATACCATTTATTATTACTTTTTGGAGCACATCTCCAATCAGAAAGTGTAAGAAAATCCCATCCGCCTGCCAGTTGACTCATGTGTAGGGTTTCCGCTTCCCAGATCTGCATATTGTAAGCTCCTGACACAAGTTGATGTTGTAAGTACAGCTTCCATACGGTTCTCTCAAAGGCAACAGATTTTTTTATACATATATATTTATATACGGCACCTGGTTTGGCAGGAACCACATCCGAAAAGGGGAAATAAGGAAAACTAAAAGCTGACTCTACCTAGCTATTGCTGGCTTGGGAAGCGGTTTGGCCAATTACAAACACAGCATCAATCTCTTATTCCAATTAGGATCAGCCTGGGAGCTGGTAGGGCTGGGATGGCTCTCGAGTGCCGAGGGAACAGCTCGACAACCGGCCAGCAAACCCGGGTGTGACATCCGCATCCATCTACAAAAGGGCCAGATCCCACTGAGCATCCGAGGAACACCAAGCAGGGGGATGCGTGGCTGCTGCTCTGGCCTCGGCGCTT